ATCCGAATCAAATATATTTATTTAGTTGTAGTAGCTGTTTATTTACTAAATTACCCATGTAAAAATTCATTTAGTTAGTCTTAAACTACCCTCACAATGTTGTAGTTCACAAAATGCTTCCCAATTAATAGTATAGATTACAATTTTTAATATTTAAAATGACTGGTTTGTCAAGAATTAAAATAAAAGCTATATTTTAAATAAAATTTTTTAAAAAAATTGAAATTTAGAAGAAAAACAAACAAAATAAAATAAGTTCGAAATCTTAATTAATTTTTAACTATTTTTGAGATAAATATTTTATTATTTTATATATTAAAATTTAACAAGATATATTTTAAAATATTCTAAAATCTATTACTTAATATTTGTCACGTTACATAAAGAAATCAATCTCCAAAGTTCCAAATACATTCTTCAATACCCCTACTTTGATCTTCTGGAGACAAGTACGGGATGGTTCTGTAGCTCTCTGCAAATGATAAGAAAGGTAGAACTAGGGAGATAAGAGATTCCTTTCCAATTCCCTTTTTTGGAGGCCAAGCGAGCTAAATGTTATAAAACAATCTTCACCTCCAACTTAGCTTTCCAAAGAAGCCAAATCCCCTCAGAAAAATGCCAAAAAAAAATTTTAATTGCAAGATAAACTACTTTATGTGTTTTCACCAAAATATGCATCTTGTTTATAACGTTTTCGATGATAACTTATGCCTTTGTATATATATTTGATTTCAATTATAAAAAGAACACTAGATTCTGACCCGCACATACGTGCGAGATTTCATATTTTAAGAAATGTTTTGTAATAAATCTTTATTAAATATATGATTATTTTGTTGTTTTAGTGATATATATTGTATTGAATAAATTATAATGTACACAGAAAAGTATAAAATGTTATTTATGTTTGCTTATGACACAATAGCAACCATAAGTCATTTTTTGGAGTTTGAAACTGAAGAGTAGATTAGAAAAAAATCTGAGATTGAAATATAATATAAGTTAGATTGATGTAAAAAAATATATTATATAGTTATAGTATCTATAACCTAAATTCATATCAGTTGGTTGAAATATTTGAAATAATAATGATTTTAATAGTATTTTAAAATTCGTAACAATCAAACGGTCGGACCAAGATCAAATTGAATCGAATTAATGGTCAGGTAGATTTTTTATTAAATTTGTGAACATTAAACTTGTAAACTATCAAACAGTATATAAAACCGTTAAAATGATTAAATACGTTTGCGAGAAATAGAAATATTTAGAGATAGGCATAATTCCCATTCAATTTTATCATGTTCCATTATATCTTACATGTTCTCTAATTTATGTCTCATAAGAGAACGCATTTCTAATATAAGACAAATTTTGTATTCCCGATTAAAAACAGGACGTGACGGAAACAAAAATTCTCGATATCTTGTTTGGGACAAACACAAATATAATTCATAGTATATTTTTATATGATGATATAATAAAAATATTACAAAATTAATTGACTTCTTTATTTTTATTGTTTTATATTTTGTTCATAAATATTAAATTACATTTGTTTGTTTTTTAAAGTTTAACTATTATAGAATATACTATAATAACATTTATTATTTTGAACATTTTTATGCTATATAAATTGAAAACACATGTTTCATATTTGATTGCAAACGTTAATTTGTTTGAATTGTAACTTGTTCTAATCTAAAATCTATGTTTTTATCCCGTCATGTCTCCTTCCATGTCGTTCCTGTTTCGTAATTCCTATTCTCGTTATATTACATTAAATATCATTTTTCGAGTTCATTTTTGCTTATCTTTAAACACCATACAATATACGGTTGTAAGTTTTGGGGATTAATATATGTTCTGTTAAAATTTGTAAACATACCGTAAATTAAAACATGAAAACAAATTGAAAAAATAAATGATCTATCAACTAATCTTAACAAAATCATAAAACTAAGAGATAGTTTAATTTGAATAAATTTAGAGAATCATTTTGAATTAATTGTAAAACCTGTGTAAATTAAAAAGTAGCTTGTAATTAGTTAAATTAGTCATCTTGATTTGAATTCAATAGTTTCTTAAATTTAATATTTCTCATTTTGAAATATTTGCATTAAAAATTAAAAAAAATTTATTTTAATTTATTTTAATGTTATTTGAAAAAGAAAATAATCAATTCTAGAAGAATGTGTATTCCAAAATTTTGTAACAATTTGATACAAAATAAAATAATTTATTTGATTTGAAATTGAATAATTTATTTGGAGATATAGTAACTATTATAGTACGTTTTAAAAATATATTAAAAATTTAGGTTAGTTATATATATTTAAGATAATGAAAACTACCCATTTTTAAAAAAAATCTATTCTAAAATTTTATATCATTTAAACTCTAATTAAATGTTAAATATTTTAATCTATCTTGGAAATATTTTTTAGATATTTACAAATTTAGAATCCAAAAAAATAGTTTTTGAATAAGCTGTATTTTAAAGGATGGAAGTATTTCGTTTTGATTATATACGACAAATATAATAAATGTTTTTCATATTTGGAAAATCAAAATTGAAAAATCTTTTTTCCATGTGTACCAATCAGAATTAATTAGCATAGTATTGTTAAGGAAATTTTTAAAAATCGAAACGAAATGATAATTTGTTATTAGATTAGATTGTCATTTTCGAAAGTATCTAATAATATCTTACGAAAATAATTTAGTTTACATATATGCAATTTCGAATTAAATATACACAATTACCCGTTTCGGTTTATTAATTTTCCTTCTTCAAATTTAAAAATATCAAGGGTATTCTTTGTAATTATTTACCTTTTATAAGGTTATATTTTATCCAATGCTTCCCAATTAATAGTATAAATCTACACTATTAATATCAAAAACTTTTATAGATTGGTAACATCGTTGATAAATATTTCTCGTTGCAAAATTGATAATATCGTTGATTAAATTTTATAATTTTAGTATTTACCAACCTGCAAATATTTAATTTTATTTAAAAACATATTATTTCTATTATTAATTTAGTTTAGTTGCTAATAATTTAACGTTTACATCTATACTATTAATGTTTACATATTACGATTTGACAAAAACAAAATATTGGATGGAATGTATGTGGCATATTTTTTGGCTATGTACTTAATTTGTTATATTTGGTAAATGAGAAAATGTCGGAATATAGTTATAACATAAATATTATTACTTAGATTTTATTGTTAAAATATTTTGTATTTTTCAATTAATGACATTCGATTTATGTTGAATTTTTTTGTTTTATCTCTAATAAATTGAAAAATACAAAATATTTTGATTTATATTTGAAATAAATATATTGATTCTGAATATTTAGTTATTATTTAATATTTAATGTTGCTTCCTTTTTTGTTTTTGTAAACAAATCATACCAAAAATATTTGTTTTTGTAGACAAATCATACCAAAAATATTGACGAAGCAAATCTCGGAATATATTGGATCATTTAATCTCGTTATTTGTTTTTGCAAAAAATTAATGAAGGATCCGAATCAAATATATTTATTTAGTTGTAGTAGTTGTTTAGTTACTAAATTACCCATGTAAAAATTCATTTAGTTAGTCTTAAACTACCCTCACAATGTTGTAGTTCACAAAATGCTTCCCAATTAATAATATAGATTGTACTGAAATTATGCATGGTGGTCGAATGTTGTAATATACATGTGTCTAACATATATTTACATGGACGTACACAATGCTACAAAAAGTTTTTTAAGCTTTATATTAATTTTTTAATCTTAATAACATATATTTACATGGACGCACAAGTTATATTATCTTTAAATTAATAGATTTTTTCTGTTTTAAATTTAAATCATTTTTAATTATTACTAAATTTTAATGAGACTATTTTAGTAATTTTATATATTAAAAATTAGTTCTTAAGAGAAAAAAAAAGATAAAGTATTTTTCAAATAAAAACTCATAAAGAAGATAATTTTTAAAATTTACTCTTTTTATTAAACGGTCACAGTTGTCTGCATTATCCTTATCCAAACACAACAACATGGACGCCACGTGGACAATACAAACAGTACATTCTCGACCTTGAAATCTAAACCGTCCATTAAATCAAAAGGAATAACAAAAGTCAAAACCACCAAAAGTCTTCTTGATCCTACGGCTAAATTATTAACTCACGTATCGTGATTAGTATTAACTTTAATTATTAAATTCTCCAGGTTTATTCTAACTAAGTCCCGATATTCGCTGTAACAATATTGAATAGAACGAGTTGTCAAACCAAAAATTAATTTTTAAAAAACGAACAATATTCTTCGCAACAAGAAACTATTTGTTTTAAATTAATATTTTAACCTAGGACTTATCGTTTTTCTTCTCCACCATCCAAGTTTCTCTGAGATCTTATCTGTGTTACAGTTACTACAACTCTGCAAATATATATAAAAAATTTGCACGATCTCTTAAAGTTTTTTAATCATTTTCTCAGTCTCTGCCTCTTCTCTTTCGTTTGTGGTTCTCACGCTCTTTGGTTTAATTTATTCAACAATGAAACTATCAATGTGAGTTGTTTTTCTCAGTTCTCTTTGATTTATCTCAATGCATTCTTGTTTACGGTTTTTGTATTCTTTTTCGTTTTTTTTTCAGAAAAACTGATAAGTTTGAAGAATTCTCTTGCATGTTTTACGATTGTCGTCAACACCACTGAGAGATAATTCGGTCTATAATCTCTGAAAGTTTATTCAAAGATCTAATATTTTGGATTAACAGAGATTATGGTTCCTTCTAGGAAATTCATTTGCTGACAGATAAATTTTTCACCTAAGGTAAACTTTTCATAGATCCTCTCTCTAATCATTGGTGAATGTTTTGTTTCCATGTGAAAATTTACTCTTTATAACCAAAAACAAACAAAAAAAACATTTCTTCATCAAGACAAATGTTAGTTAATCATGTTAGGTTTTTCAATATATTTATGTTGTTTTCACATGTTCAAAGATCATTCACGTTGTTTGGATTTGTCTCAATTGTATATAAATGGTAATAATTTTTTTTGGGGTCAAACTGATGTTTTTGATTGTGTATAATCGTGACTCAGATCTTACTCATTGTTCTTCGTATCCATAACATTGCAGATTTTTGTTTTCTTTGTTTGACTTACAATGCATTTTTTTTTGGGTATAAATTATGAACATGTAGGTTCATGAGTGAGTCTCACTCTTCTACCTCTTTTTGGTATCAACTTATAGTTTATGTAACTGTTGATTCATATCCGTATAAGAGTTTTGACTAAATCTTTTGAAATTAATAATAATAATGAAAGTTTGAATGATTTTGCTTTGCAGAGAAGTTTTTGAGATAAGAGGTTTTTAGAGATGAATTTCACTGAATCAATGAACGTTGTGCACAACAGAATCCAGCAACTTGAACCAGAGAATGCATCAAAGATCATTGGTTATCTCTTGTTGATGCAAGACAATGGCAATCGCGACATGATCCGTCTCGCGTTCTGTCCTGATTCTGTGATGCGTTCTGTCATCAATTGCGTTAAATACGAGTTAGCTAAGAATGCTCATCATTACCACAGCCCTCCTTCTGATCACATTCCTACTCACAAATTTGGATCATTCACGGGATCATCGCCTCTTTCGGTTTCTGTTTCTCCTCCCGTGAAAACCGGTTTCTGGGAGAATTCAACCGAGATGGATACCTTGCAGAACAATCTTCAGTTCTTGAATTTTGAGGATTCATTGACCAGCCCTGAATTCTCTAACGGTTTCTTCTCTCAAGACCGTCAATGTTTGCCTTTGCGAACGAGCAGGAGATCCCCGAGTTTACCCGAGTTCCCGGTCAAAATCTGTCATTACTTCAACAAAGGATTCTGCAAACACGGCAACAACTGTAGGTACTTCCACGGGCAGATTATACCGGAGAGGGAGAGTTTTGCTCTGATGTTTAATCCAAACAACAACCTAAGTGAAGAAGAGCATGTTGTTTCCCCTGTATCTCTTGAAAAGCTAGAAGGAGAGATCATCGAATTGCTCAAAGCAAGAAGAGGCGCTCCAATCTCCATAGCTTCATTGCCGATGATGTACAGTGAAACATACGGTAGGACTCTTCAAGCTGAAGGATATTTGACAGAGTCACAACGACATGGCAAAGCTGGCTATAGCCTCACCAAGCTTCTTGCTCGCTTGAAGAACACCATCCGCCTCATCGACAGGTTTGTTAGTTATAATACTACTATTTCTATTTCAATTTTAAGTATTGTTTTCTTATGGTGTTTGAATTTTGTAGGCCTCATGGGCAGCATTCAGTAATATTAGCAGAAGATGCATCAAAGTTTGTGGAATACACCGGAGAGAGAAACGAACACGGAGCGATCCTTGCTGGTTCTAGACAGATTTACTTAACATTTCCGGCAGAGAGTAGTTTCACTGAACATGATGTCTCCACTACTTTACCACATTCGGACATGTGGAAGATGTGAGGATTCCTTGTCAGCAGAAAAGAATGTTTGGATTTGTAACATTTGCTTGCACAGAAACCGTTAAACTCATTCTTGCAAAAGGCAATCCTCATTTCATTTGTGGTGCACGTGTTCTCGTCAAGCCTTACCGGGAAAAATCACGCTCGAGTCGGTACCTTGACAATAACAAGCCTCTACACGGCATGCGTTATGGCTCTCAATTTATTGATAGAGACTTAGAGATAAACGCATGTAAGTAATTAGCAAAATCAATTTATGTATATGTTAATCTTTCATTTAACTGTTTTTCTTTTTTTGTTGTTTTTAGTGCCACCGCGGGGTAGTGAGAGCTCAAGACTATTGAGGAAGCCATTTCTTAGTGAGCCTGAACAATCTGTTTCTAAGTCCTTACCTACTAATTACTCCTACCTCGGCTTCTCCTCGGATGACTTCAAGCTAACATCAAACGGTAATTACACCTTTAACTTAAACCAGATAATCGTAGTTTCAGATATTAATTGCTTGACTTTGTTAATTTGTAGCGGAGCAAGAGGAACAAGCGGAACGGTTGAGCTACCTACTGGACTATTTGAACACCGAAGACAATGTCATGAACATAACCACTAACTATAGAGACAATGATCGGTATGTTTTGATCTTTACCAAACACATTTTGAGATTTTATCTTGATTTAACCAAATGATGTTTTTCATTCAGGAGAACTCATTGTGAATCGTTGGACAGTCAAGTCCTGAATCTACCCGATAGTCCGTTTTCTTCCCTTTCAGGGAAGGAGATTTCAACGGTTACATAGAGAGAAAGACTGATACCTAACCAAAAGGAGAGAAGAACATAGGAGCATAAAGGTTAGAGGGAATCCCCAAAGATCTAATCAATCGGCAAAAAAGAGATTTTTTTTTTCATTATCTTCTTTCGGTTTTAGACTGATGGATGGCATGGAGACTTTTAGGTTCTTTAGCAATAACACAGCAAAAGAAAAGGAAATAAAAAGTGACAGAAACACACAAAGAAGAGCATGTTAGCTTCAGGTTTAAAATAAGAGCCGAGCAGTTTGAGAAACAATAACAAAGGGGTATAATAATAAGAACAATTGGAATGTTTATTAAGGGTTAATTTTATATATGTTCTTTTTCTTTTCAACTTTTTCTTTATGCTGCTTCATCATATCTCACTGTATCATATGAAAATCCTTTTAGTTTTAAGAAAAAAGGTTTCTTGTATATACTATATATAATAATAATAATTGAAACATTTATAAGGGGGCCGATTGGTAACGGCTGTAAGTTTTGGCTTTAGAAGCTTTGACTTTAAAAATTTGAGTTGTAGAAAATTTGGCTGTAAAGACTTTGACTGTAAAAGCTTTGGCTGTTAAAATCTGATTGGTAACACAAACTATAGAAGCTGTGATTATTATTATTATTATTATTATTATTATTATTATTATTATTATTATTTTTTTTTTTTTTATAATATATTAATAATAAATATAAATTATGTTAGAAATGAATTCATATGCAAATATAGTTTTATTAATGATAAGAATTTAGAAAAAACCATAAATTGATAAATAAATGAATAAATAAATAGATAAATATTCTCTAGAAATAAAATAATATATATTATTCATTCATTTTTAATAACCAAACATTGCAATAAGAAAAAAAACTAAAAATCCATTATTTGTTTTGGTAGGAACTTAAAATCCATTAATAATAATAAAATATTTATTTAAAAGAAATGATAAAAGTTTGACAAAAAAAAAAATGATAAAAATTTAGAAATGAAATTGTTAAAAATGCCCCTTTTTTAATACCCCTTTTCAAAAATGCCCCCTTTGAGAGTCCATTTTTAAGTTTGCCCTCTTTTAATTTTTAATGACCATTTTACCCTTATTTGAAACAAAATTAGATCCACAAAATACAAAATATTTTTTGGCGGGAAAAGTGATCTCGCAATTTTCCCGCCAAAACACTTGTAAAAACCTTTAAAATACCTTGTAAAATTTTCCCGTAAAAATTTTTCCCGCCAAAAAAGTTTTTTTTCGGGAAAAGTGATTCCGCAATTTTTTTGGCGAAATTTTTCTGGCGGGAAAAATTTACAAAGTATTTTAAAGGTTTTACAGAGTATTTACAAGTGTTTTGTAAGGTTTTACAATGTATTTTAAAAGGTTTTACAAGGTACTTATAAGGTTTTATAAGGTATTTATAAGTCGTACAACCTTCTACAAGATTTGTAAAACCTTAGAACTTGTAAAACCTTATAAAATAGCTTGTAAAATCTTATAATATCTTATAAATACCTTATAAATACGTTGTAAAACCTTTTAAAATACATTGTAAAACCTTATAAATACCCTGTAAAAAACCTTTAAAATACCTTGTAAATTTTTCCCGCCAAAAATGTTTCCGCCAAAAATTTAACGCCAAAAAAATTGCGGAATCACTTTTCCCGCAAAAATTTTATTTTTGGCGGGAACAAATTTTACGGAAAAATTTTACAAGGTATTTTAAAGGTTTTACAAGTTTTTACAAGTGTTTTGGCGGGAAAAATTGCGGGATCACTTTTCCCGCCAAAAAATATTTTGTATTTTGTGGACCTAATTTTGTTATATTGTCTTATATATTTGTGATATCTTTTATTAAAAGAAGGGTAATTTAGTCATTTTGTACATAGAAAGGGGTATTTTTAAAAGTTGACAGCCAAATGGGGCATTTTTGAAAAAGAGTATTGTAAAAGAGGCATTTTTGTGAGTCTCCCTATTCTAAATGCACACATTTATTTATATTTATTATTTTATGCGGAAATTTAATACCCAACACAGTAGTAAAAAGTGGAATAAACTTAAAAAATTTATATGGCTTTAAAAAAAAATACTAATTCTATACACTCTTTTAAACCAACATTAATGATGATGATGAAAATAAAATGATTATTCGTGAAATGGATCTTAAAAGAAAGATAGAAAAATGAGAATAATTAATTTATAAAAAAAAAAATTATGAAAAGATATATGTAAACATGTAGAGAGTTTTTAATTATCATGGGGATAAAAAAAAAACTTTTAATTGTTTATTTATTTGATAAATGTCCCCAGAAATCTAAAGCCACATTTTTGAGACTTTAGAAAAAGAAGGAAAATAAAGAAGGAAAAAAAAAAAGACTTTCAGAACTTTAAAAATAATTAAAGTCATAAAAGCCTAATTGGCAAAAAAAATGATGTGAAGACTTTAGAATAGCCCCTAAAGTCTTTAAAGCCTTGTGCCAATCACCCCAAGGTTTCCGCAAATTTTAGAAATTATTGCCATCAACGTATGGACAACAATGATATGTTGGGCGGATCCGTAACGAATCTTGCGGGTGTAAAACAAATTCTTGCATTAGTTATTACATGGTGTCATTTTTCCCTCGAATTTGGTTGGATAGTGATACAATCAAACCATGCAAAAGTTATAATGTGCTTAAAGCCTTAAACGAACCAGATTTTTATAGTTATAGCTTTTTGTTCATCATTGATTTTTAATTCAACCATCATGTCTTTTGAATCAATAATATGCTTAACATACTTTAAGATTTTCAACTCGTTATTAAATACAAAATAAGCAAAGTTTCATTCGACAAAATAATTTAAAAGAGGAGTATTAAAACAAAACAAAAACTTGTTGAAATGGTATTCAAAAAAAAAAAACTTGTTGAAATGAAAGAAATCGTTAACCAAAAACTAGCAAAGAATAGAAACAGCAAATTATAGTAAAAAGAGCCGCTTTGTCTTTCATTCAATCCAACCGGTGTCTCGTCTCCGATTGTGATAAAATATAGCACGAAAGGCCAAAACTTTGTTCTTGGATAAATCCCAAAATCTCGAATACAACTCTTATGATTTCACTTCAGACTGATCCTTTGGGATACTATTATCACAGCGTGTCTTTGAAGAAAAAGACATTACTGGTTTTGCTATTAGATGAAACAGAAGCTCCTTGTTTTTATTTGATTTTTCAATAGAGAAATATAGACCTCTCCTTCTCATACATTATATATTAGTACACTAGGTATTCGAAAAGAAAATGCATTCTTTTTCTTTTTTGATAACCAATAGATATGTATTTTTATAATTATATACAAGGTGATTAAATTATTTCGATTGAAAAAGGTCCATACATTTTTTATTTAAGTTTAGATTGTTATAAAAGAGTATTTGATTTTATAGTGGATATATAAATATTTAATGATGAGAAAATTATACCCGCAGAAGGATCGGGATACTGAATAATAAAGAGATGAGAGGGAGAGGGAGAGGGATTATTGCTTCTCTTATAATTGAAGTAATGCGAGTTGTGATTTTACATCGAACGTTCATCGTTCTATTTATAGAGAAAATTATAAGTTACTATGCATGCATAGTGACGGTGGGCTCCACATCAAAATTATAAACAACACACGGCTGCGCCTAATGTTTGATTTGAAGCGCATGATATATTTGACTTTCTTAACACTCCCCCTTGGAGACCAGTGTCACTATGTCTCTTGCGTAATATCTTCTGTTGCCTCGTTAAAAACCTTTCTAGGAAAACCCGGTGGGAAAAACCATAGTAGGTAAAAAGAGTGCAACCGCGCAAGCTCCCCCTCGAATGATCAGGATCATAACTTACAAGTCTTGTTGACGACGCATTCCAATGTTATGAACATGTTTCCTGAATATAGAGGTGGGTAATGATTTCGTGAAGAGATCCGCAGAATTCTCGGATGATCGGACATATTTTACTTCAATGTCTTTATTCTTCACGAGCTCTTGGGTGTATGAAAAGAACTTCGGAGGGATATGTTTGGTTCTATCGCTTTTGATATATCCTTCCTTTGTCTGAGCAACACATGCAGCATTGTCTTCATATAAGACAGTTGGCTCTGTATTCAGACTAATTCCACTACTAGTTTGAATATGTCGACTTATTGATCTTAGCCATACGCATTCTCTACTCGCTTCATGGAGTGCGATGATTTCAGCATGATTCGAAGAAGTAGCTACAAGCGTCTGCTTCTGAGAACGCCATGATATAGCAGTACCTCCAATCGTGAATACGTATCCTGTTTGGGATCGAGCTTTGTGTGGATCTGATAAATATCCTGCATCTGCAAAACCAATCATTTGACCATTTATATTTTTAGGATAAAATAACCCTAAATCAATAGTCCCTTGAAGATAACGAAAGACATGTTTAATCCCATTCCAATGTCTTCGTGTAGGAGATGAACTAAATCTAGCCAAAAGATTGACTGAAAATGATATATCAGGTCGGGTGCAATTTGCAAGATACATAAGAGCTCCAATTGCACTTAAATACGGTACTTCAGGACCGAGTATCTCTTCATTCTCTTCAGGTGGTCTGAATGGATCACTCTCAACATTAAGTGATCTAACGACCATTGGAGTACTGAGAGGAGTTGCTTTATCCATATTAAAGCGTTTTAACACTCTTTTGGTGTATGTGGATTGATGTACAAATATACCCTTTTGAGTATGTTCAATCTGTAGGCCAAGACAAAATTTTGTTTGTCCGAGATCTTTCATCTCAAATTCCCCTTTTAAATAGTTTGTTGCTTTCTGTATTTCAGCTTGAGTCCCGATTATGTTTAGATCATCAACATATACCGCGATTATCACAAATCCGGAATTTGTTTTCTTTATGAAAACACATGGGCATATAGGATCGTTCACATATCCTTCTTTCGTTAAGTGCTCACTGAGACGATTATACCACATTCGTCCAGATTGCTTTAACCCATATAATGATCTCTGCAACTTTATTGCACACAACTCTTTGGGTTTAGATTTTAATGCTTTTGGCATATTAAACCCATCGGGAACTCTCATATAGATATCTGTATCTAATTATCCATATAAATATGCTGTAACGACATCCATGAGACGCATCTCTAGATTTTCGCTAGCTGCTAGACTCATCAGAAATCTAAACGTTATAGCATCCATAACAGGGGAATATGTTTCCTCATAATCAATCCCGGGTCTTTGAGAAAATCCTTGAGCTACGAGACGAGCCTTGTATCTCGTAATTTCATTTTTCTCATTTCGTTTTCTAACGAAAACCCATTTTTATCCAACCGGTCTCACATCCTCAGGTGTGAGTACAATAGGTACGAATACATTTCGCTTATTTAGCGAATCAAGTTCGACTTGTATTGCATCTTTCCATTTTATCCAGTCATGTCTCTTTTGACATTCATATACAGACTTTGGTTCTG